TGTCATGACAAAAATACCTAATCACATATCCCTTTTAAACAGTTTTTTCCCTCATCTGTTTCAATGTAGTATACATTATTGAACCCATCTTACTCGGTCTCTCCCCAACGCCAAGGACAGTCCCATTCTACAACAGTGGCATCATGCAATATTTGTCCTTTTGTGACTGGGACATTTCACTCAGCGTAATGTTCTCCAGAGTCAACCATTTGGAATAATATTGCATGAGTTCCTTGTTTTTTAATGCAGCATAGTATTCCATTGTGCGAATATACCACAGCTTCTCTAGCCATTTGTTTGTTGATGGGCACTTGGGTTGTTTCCAACTCCTTGCTATTGTGAACAAAGCTGCAGTAAACATGGGTGTGCATTGTATGATTTCTTAGTGGTCACTCTGGATGTCAGGGCTTGAATCCTGACTCCTCACAGCCACTACTCTGAGCCAAGTCCCCAAGGACATGTGCCTTCAGCCTCCGCCTCGACAGTCTCCGAAAGCTCACAGGAGGGTCAGCTGTGAGGCGGTGCCCCCTCGGCAGCCCGTGACAACAGCACCAGCATCCGTTTCCTTACAGACGTGCTGGTCTGAAATCTTTCACTGCGGTCTCCTTAGTGCCCCCAGAGGACCCCTTCTCCTGCTGTCCCTTCCTCCCTGGTGCCCCAGGTCCTGTGGGAGGAACGGCTGTGGATGTTCTCGCTGAGAATCTCTGTACCTCTTTCCGGAAGAATGGCCTCCTGGGCGTGGAGCTCCTGCTGGACATTGTCTCTCAGAGCTGCTTTGTTGTTTGGGCCGTTTTTTTGGCGGTGGTTTCTTCAGATACTCTCCCAGCAGCCCCCTTCTTTCTTCGTTTGATTCTTTGATGATACAAGTATTGGATCTTAATTAATTGCCCCCCAACCCCCGATGCCCTGTTCTTCCTTTTTTGGTTTGTTTTTACAATGACTTTTCTCTTTGTGGTTTAGACTGAATAGACCCTGTTGATCTGTCTTCAGGTTCACCGATTGTGTTGTGTCTTCAGTCATTGTGTTGAATTTCACTATTCCCATCTGCTCCGTTCTATGACTTTTCTCTTTTGAAATTTTTATTTCTCATGTTTTGTAGGTTTTAGATGGTCATTTGGATGAAAGTCCTTCTCATTTGTTTTCTGATGGCTTTGTGTTATTTCTGTTGTTGAGGTGTTCCTGTGATGGCACTGACAGCCTGGCCCCGCTTCTGGCTGATGTAGCAGACACTGCTTGCTTGGGTCTTGGACGCGTGGCCTTTTGCCTCCTGGACACTGGCTCTTGTGTTTTCCTGTAGGAGAGCGACCTAGATCTGACACACGGTCAGGGGGCCGTGGTCTGACCCTCAGGTCCTCGGAGCCTCTCTATTGCTGTCCTGGGTCACCTGGTTTGTCTCTGGTCCAGGAGCTCCCACTGGTCCTTGTGAAGGAGGTGGAGGGAATGTCCCTAGACTGGACCCCCAGGGGCCAAGCCCACTGGCCAGGGTATGTGCAGAATGGATGGGCGGACGGACTGGTGTGGTGGGGGATCGGGTGGGAGTCCCACTGCTTGTGCCCTAGCCTATGGATGGTGGACCAGGAGGAGACCAGCGGGGCAGGGAGCACTTGCTGGGCCAGCCGCTTTTTTTGGTGGACTTCTTCCTGCTGCACTGCTCTGGCCTCCAGGTGTCTTGGTGAGGGAGGGGCGACTTGGCGCATTTGTGGAAGGAGGATGCTTCCGGCCTGGGCTCGGGGTGTGGTGGACATTCCTGCTGGCAGTCCACTGGGGGTGGGACTTCCTGTTGATGTCCTTGCTGACTTGTCAGGCTCAGCCTGTGTGCTGGGGGGCCTTCCGTCTGACCCTGAGGCTGGACGCACGTGGTGACCTTCTGGACAGGGGCTGGAGGCTGTGCTGCTCCTGTGACCCTCCAGGCTGGAGGACATCTCTGGCCTACACTCTTCCTGATCTCAGTCTGTAAATGCCAATAAAAAGTATTCAGTGGGTGAGGGATTTAAGAAGAGAATGGGGAAAACAGGACAGAATTGATGGACTTGGAGCCAGCTCAGTGCACAGTGTTCTAGAACACAAGACCAGATAAGATAAGAGCCTGGGACCTAAGAGACAACATCCCAGCAACATCCCAGCGCCCAGCACAGTATGGCCCGCCCTGCGCAGCGTGGATCACCCCCCCGCGTGCTGTGGATCGCCCAGCACGGCGTGGCCTGCCCAGCGCGGTATGGCCTGCCCAGCGCGGTGTGGACCAGCTGATGAGAACAGGCATCTGAGTAAATCATGACCACAAACTCTTCAAATTTGATGAAAGTTCCCAGTCTACACATTGATGAAGCTTACCACTGTGTCTGCTCTAGAGTTGGACTCAAGCTACCGCTGACCCTCCAGCCGGTGTCAGGGACAGTAAATCACACCGGAGGAGACTTTCTCCCACGGAGCAGTTTGTGCATTTGAACTGCACATCTTTGGGACTGCAGTGCAGTTCCTTCCCACTAAGCCACATGTGTGGTTAGTTGGTTTATTGTTTAAAATGGCTTTGGAGGCCCTTGGCCTTGGCTTTGGCCACATGACTGGAGGTGGGAAATAAGCAAATAGGGTGTGTGAATCTGTCCACAAGGGACTGGCTAGTGTGGTCACTCTGGCAGATTTAAATTCAGATTGAGCAGCACCACTTGGGACTCCCACCACTGGCAGAGAATGGAGTGGGCACCCTTCAGGGCTCGGCAGACTGAGACCAACAGCGTCAGCAGGCGCAGCAGAGAACCAGCGAGCCAGCGGGGACAGCTGACCAGGACTGCGGCTCCCTGGAGCCAGAGCCAGGGGACTCGGGGGAGACACCATCACCAACCGGACCGCGAGGGCTTTATGACGCTGGCTGAGGCCTTGCAGGCACACCTGTGAAGCTGTCCTAAGGTACCCTAACCTGCTGCCCACCTGGATTCTAACCTGCCAACGGCCCTAATACACCCCGTAAGGTGCATATGGTTCTGTGAGGTCTACTGTAACAGATTTCAGACCCAGCAGCAGAGAGGTGAAAGCCTGCACTGGCGTTAAGATTAGCAGAAGGGGGTGCTGGAGTCTGGGGCACCACGTCCTGCAGATGGGCAGTTACCCTCAGTGGAGTTTGTAGCGGTCAGAGGGAGCCATCCCCACACCACTCTCTCATTTTACGATATGGGGGGGGGAAACTCATGTACAGATAATTCATCATCACTTTAATAGCCAAAGGCAGTGGAGCAGGCCCACAAGTGAGTGATCAGCAATCAGTTTTATGTAACTATGCCCAAAACTGAAGAGATTAAGACTTCTGGCAGAAAACTGGAAGTGACAAAAATAAAAAGGAGAGGAGGAGGAAAAATAACAGAACTTGGCAGATCTACAAAAGAAGCAAACAGAAATTCCAGAACAAGAAAGCTGTGTAATCCTGCAGCAGCTGTGAGCTATCCTGGTCTCAAGAAAGTGTGCAGGTGAACCGGGAAACACGGGAGAGGCCTGCCGGGAGGGTCTCTGTGCAGTCTCCACACCTTATTCACCCTGCATGTGGAACAGATCATCCGGGAGGCTGGGCTCTATGAGGAGGAATGTGGCATCAGGACTGGAGGAAGATTCATCGACAACCTGCGTTATGCAGATCACACAGCCCTGCTCGCTGAAACTGAGGAGGATCTGAAGCACTTGCTGCAGAAGGTCAAGGACTGCAGCCTCCAATATGGATTGAAGCTCAACATCGAGAAAACAAGATTCTCACTACTAGGCCGATTGGCAGCATCGTGATAGATGGTGAAGAGATTGAGATTGTAAACAGTTTCTGTTTACTTGGCTCCACAATCAGCACGCTTGGTACCAGCGGCCAGGAAATCAGAAGAAGAATTGCATTGGGAAGAGCTGCTGTTAGGGACCTCTCTGGAGTACTAAAGAGTAATGGTGTCAGTCTGGAGACTAAGGTGTGCCTGATCTGGGCCAAGGTATTCACGTAGCTTAGTGATGATAGAAGGAGAATTGATGCCTTTGAGCTGTGGTTCTAGAGAAGCGTATTGAATATACCATGGACTGCCAGGAGAACAAACAGGTTCACCTGGAGAGGGTGAAACCAGGCTGCTCCTTGGAGGCAAAGATTCTAAAGCTGCATTTGTCGTACTTTGGACATTTTTCTAGGGGGAACCAGTCTTTATTTAGAGAGAGCCATGCTTGGATTGGTGGAGGGACAGCGCAAGAGAGGAAGACTCAGTGAGATGAATTGACCCACTGACTGGGGTAGCGAGGTTAGGTGTGTCGGAAATGATAAGGTTGGCTCAGGATAGAGCAGAGTTCATAGCTGTTGTACACAGGGCCGACTGGACGGCACATAACAACATGGAATAAGAGCTTGGTTTATCTCTTTTTTTCTGAAAATAGCACAAAGGTGAGTTTCTTTTCTCGAATAGCTGGGCTGGTTGGAGTGATCTGGCGTCAACCCAGCAAGCTGAGCTCAGGGTGGGGGGACCCGGTGCCGTCCTGCCTGCCCACTCATGGTGCCAGCTCTGTGGTCAGGCCCGGTGCGTGGATTGAACCGTCCATCTTGACTGACCACGGTCAGAGTGAGACAGGGTCAGACAACGACACCTGGGAGTGGTGTGGGGGGTTACCGTGGGGCGTCCTTAACCCTGTGGCACGAAGCTGCTAGTGGGCCATTGTCCAGCCTGTGCTCAGGGGGCAGCTGTGTGGTATTGTGGAGGTCGTGTGGGGAAGTGTGTAACACCATGTGCTTACGTGCTGGCCTGTGTTTGTGGACGGGGAAGAGGTCGTGTTGAGGACGGGTGACCGGAGGGGGGGTGTGTGTGTGCGCGCGCGCTGGCCCCTGTGGGGAGGCAGCCCCGGTGTGTCAGCCCCCTGTGGAGGGGGCGGTCTGCAGCGTCTCGGTGGTTCAGACCTGGAGGGCGTGGACACATCTCCCAGCCTCTGCTCATTGCGCACGGGCTCCTGTCCCTGGGTGCACTCATGATGCCCTTCGCTCTGTTGCAGACAACATCCCCGAGGACCTGCAGGACCCCTTCTATGTTGACCAGTACGAGCAGGAGCACATCAAGCCGCCTGTCATCAAGCTCCTACTGTCCAGTGAGCTGTACTGCCGGGTGTGCAGCCTCATCCTGAAAGGGGACCAGGCGGCCACACTCCAAGGACACCAGTCTGTCATTCAGGCCCTGTCTCGGAAGGGCATCTATGTGATGGAGAGTGATGACACGCCGGTCACCGAGGCCGACCTTAGCTGTGCGCCCGTGAAGATGGTGAGGTCCCGCGCCCCCCGGCTGTGCGCGGTCCCCCCAGTCCTCTGGGGCTGGGTGTGTGCAGACCCCTTCCCCCCTGGCTGTGTGACAGCTTGCTGTCCTCTGGGAACTCGGTCTGCTTTTAGGTTGTGGGCAGGCTTGCACAGTCCCAAAGCCAGGCTTGGCATGACCTGTCCACTGGGCCCCAAGCACGTGTCGAGCCCAGGACAAGATGGCACCTCAATCTGCCCCCGTCCCCTCGTCCTTTAGTGGGCAGGCTCCCCACGCAGGGTCACTCAGTGGCCCTCGACTCACGCTGTCCCCGGTGTAAGAGGTGAGCCACACTCTTCCAAGTGCCATTCCAGGAAGCTCGGGACAGAACTTTCTGATGTCCAGGGTCCTCCGGTCACTCAGCCCTTAACGCTCGGTCACCACCTGTCCAGTCAGTGGTGGTGTGTGACTGCGTCAGAGTCCTCGCTTCCTGAGGTTAGCCCCCCAGGTGTGAGTCTCTGCAGCCCCTCTTGCCGGGTTGTTCTGGAAAACAGAGGTTTCTTGGATGCCCTGGTTATTTCTGAATGGGAGGCCTGGCCACATCTGGGTCTGCCCACAGTCCACGGGCAGCAGGGATGAGGCTGTGCATGTCCCTGGGGAGGGCTGGCCCTCGCGTGGGCCGAGGCGGGGCGGCCTTCTCTCCCCCGAGCATGCTGGGAGGTTCAAGGGTATTAATAGTAGCCACATGAGGCGGACGTGGTACAGATGCTGTGCTTTCTCTATATATATCCGCCCAGCCTTTTTCCTGAGGCCTTTTCAGCATTTTTTGCCTAAATAAGCAGACAAGCCTTCCGCCCTCTCAGCTCGCCCCTCCAGTCTTTGGAAGGCCGCTGCTCCTGTGCCCTTTGCAGGCCATGCTGGTTCTGCTGTTTGTGGTGCCCTCTGCACGTGTGTGGACACTGCTTGCCCGGTGTCCCTGGGGTCAGTCCCTCTTGGACTGCAGGGTGACGTGTGTGGGCCAGGAGAAGGGGTGTGACCGTGGGCTGGTGGGCTGGTCTGCCACCACCCCACCCCACTCCTCCTGTGCCTGTGTCTCCCGCCACCTGGGGGGTGTGTGCGGGTGTGTGTCTGTGTGTGTGTGTCTGTGTGAGCACACACACCTCTCTAAGCCCTCGGGAATGCTCTGCTGACCAGTGCATGGCCGGCATCGGGCTGCTTGATGGAGATGCAGTCAGTCCTCCTGTGTCTGTGCGGGTGGACCCGGAAGTGTGCTTTGCTGAGCATGTTAGGGTGAGCCTGTGGGAGGCGTGGCCTGCTCAGCCCCTGCCCTGCCCACAGAGCTCGCACATGGCCATGATTGACTCCCTGATGATGGCCTTCACCGTGGAAATGATCAGCATTGAGAAGGTGGTGGCCAGCGTCAAGCGCTTCTCCACATTCAGCGCCTCCAAAGAGCTGCCTTACGACCTGGAGGACGCCATGGTGTTCTGGATCAACAAGGTGAGCGAGCGAGGACTGGGCAGGTGCTTCCTGCCACTTCCTGGACGGGAGACCCGTCAGCCTCTGGGACACTGAGTCCTTAGCTCCGCCTCCCGCCCCCCTGTGTCCAGAAACCTCCCTCCCAGCTTCCAGTGGCTGAAGGAGGAGGCTTGGGAGAGACATGGCCTGTGGGATCGGTTCAGAGCAGTCCACGGTGGTCATTAAATGGAAATGAACCCAGAGCAGCTGAGCTGTACAGAAAGGGGCCTCCGTCCTCGCTGTTAAGGCTGTCGCCTTTCCTGCGCGGAAGTCGTGGCGTCATCACTGGCATGGTCCTGTGAGACCCGGAACATCCCAGCCCTGTGACCCCAAGTGACCGAGCCACTGCAGGGCCTCCCAGCGCCCTCTTTGTGGGGCTCGCCCACTGGGCTTCTATGGGGGAGCAGACAGTGGCTCCGGAGCTTACCCTCTGCGTCACCTTGTAGCAGCAGGTGTTGCTTTTCTCTTTTTAAGACAGTGAATAAATCTGTATCGAGCCACTTGGTTTATAGCACAAGGTAAAAGGAGAAGGTGTTTTCTTTAACGAGTATTTTACAGAGTCATGGTCAAATATTTTTAAAGGGATGACATTTCTGAAAAGTGAGGAGCGAGTAAACAGATTCCCACTGACTCCTTGGATCTGCCTTAGCCACACTAGTAGCCAGCTAGTGTCTTCAGTGCCGGATTTGATCGCCGCTGGGCTCTCGGGTGGTCATTCAGCTACCTCAGCAGTGAGCTTTGCGTTTGGTGGAACGCGGCCCCGCGGGTCCTTTCCCTCAGCCCCTTCGGGTCAGTCTCCAGCCTGCCCTCCCTCAGAGGCAGGAGACGGTCATCCCATCCTCCGACACTTCGGCCAGTTCCAGCGGTTTGCCATTTTCTTCTCTGAACTTGTTTGATTAGGTTGTTTTTTGTTTTTTTTTTTAATGTGTATACTGTCAAATCGGATCTGACTGGTACAGGAGGCGATTGTTCCTCCTTCTTCAGCAGAGCATCTGGTGGATTTGAACCGCGTACCTCTGGGATTACAGTGCAGCTTCTTGCCACTAGGCCACCAGAGTTCACCGTGACTGAACTTGTTTGAATATTTGTACCGACGCAGTCCCACCTGCCATGGTCCGGGGATACCAACGGTGAACATCCGCCTCCCTTTTTAAGAATAGATTCTATTTCGGTGGCCTCTCTTCCAGGGCCTTTCAGACTTGGTTTCTTTGGGCTTGTTGTCATTGACTGTCATATTTTTCACCTGTTGTGTACACTGTATTTATACTTCAGGATCTTTGAAACACTTAGTTTTAAAAAGATGGTTGTATAAAGGCTGTGACCAGAGGGTCCTTGCTGGTGGCCTTGGCCACACGCTCAGTGTTTCCTGAGAGCTGATGTTGAAATGTGTCTGCGCCGCGATCCTGGAGAAACTTGAGGTTGTTCTTCTTGGGCAGCTGCCCACGGCCCACCCCCGCTGTGGGGTATCTGCCATTTCTCCCCTCCGCCTCCAAAAAAACACCTTTCCGCTAAGGCCTTGTCCTGGAGGACACTGTGCAGCCTGCACGGGCTCTTTGTCCTTGAGGGCTCTGGTGGTGCAGCAGGACGCGCTGGCCAGGCCAGGTGGGGTTGAGCGGGGCTCGGGCCAGGTGCGGCCACCCCTGAAGAGCCTCTTTGATGGCTCGACAAGCTGCCTTTTATTTCTGGAGCAGCCAGTGGTCCTTCCCAGGACGCTGGCTTGTCTGCCATCTCCCCCAGGGCGCAGGTGTCCAGGACAGGTTGGACGGGGCCCTTGCTGTCCTGGGCTCAGCAGCGCGAGCCTCTTGCTGGAAGCGTGAAGGCCTTGTCTGCCCCGGGGTGCAGTTGGCCGCCTGGACGCTGATGTCGTCTTGTGTGTCAGGAGCAGGGACCTCTCCGAAGTAGAACCGGCGGCCAGCATGCTGTCCAGGGGCCGCAGGGCAGGTGTGGGCCACCTGCCGCCGGGAGCCAAGCGTGGTGACCGAGCACACCTGGCCGCTCCACACCCCTGGCCCCTCGGCTCTCGCGTGGCGTGGACCTGCTGCCCACCAGCAGTGCCTCCAAGACCTCCCCTGAGTTTTGGATCAAAAAAAAGAAAATCCCTGCTTCTCTCTTTAGCAGCTTTTGTTAATTATTATGAAATTATGATGTAGTCATGTAGAAAGTGCAGAAACTGGCTGAGCAGAAGGTATCACATGTGAGTTGGCCAGATCCTTAAACAGGAGCATGATTGACGTAATAAATCCTGACTCCGGACCTGTGTGGAATGAGTCGCTGAGAAGGGCCATGGGGGTGGACTCACCTCGTTCAGGCGAGGCAGACACTCGATCAGCGCCCCTCACAGAAAGGGCACTTACTCTGGGGCCTGGAAATCGGGGTTCCTTTGCTCTGCTCTGTCTCAGCATCAAGGAAGAGTTCTCACTCCGCAGTGTTTTACAGGGTTCCACAGGGGATGGCATTAACACATAGAAAAGTGCTGTCACAGTTGAAGAGCGGCACGCCTGAATTGGGGTGCAGGCCCAGGGGAGGGCGTCCTCCGGTGCGTTCTGAGAGGTCCTTGTCTCCTCTGAGCCGCCACTCCTGAGTGACCTTCCCATGACTTAGCATCTCCCCACCTCTGCGTCTGTGCTCGCTTTGATCTCTTATGTCTCAAAGGAAGTGGACTCAACTAAGTGAGGGTGGGGCAGCCGTGGAGTGGTGAGGGTGGGGTGGGGCAGAGAGGGCAGTGAGGGCCGGCTGGTGGGGTGGGGGGCGCGGCAGGGAGGGCCGTCTGGCCTGCTGTCTGCTCTGGGGTCGTTTTGTTTTGGTATAAGGGTGGTGATTCCTGCCCATCTGTCTTGTCCCTCACGTGTCATGGTGGCCAGCCCATCCACCAGGTGAATTTGCGTGAAGACAGTTACAATCTTCACCCCTCATCACTGGATAGTGTAAAACATGATTAATTTGGCTCTGAGAAGTTTTCTACAGCAACTGCTTGATTCCAGGTTGCCTCCAGCTCTGTGCGTGAGAAGTTATACAAAAAGCAACGATGTCAGTCTGGAGTCTAAGGTGCGCCTGGTCCAGGCCATGGTCTTCACAGTTGCTTGCTTTTGTTCATCAGAGACAGTTGATGACTTTGAATAATAGTGAAGAAGGAGAGTGTTGAATATCCCATGGACTGCCAGGAGAACGTACAGGTTCAGCCTAGAGAGGGTGCGTCCAGGCTGCTCCTTGGAGGCAAGGATTCTGAAGGTCTGTCTGACAGACTTTGGACATGTTGCATCATGCTTGGCAGGGTGGAGGGACAGCGCAAGAAAGGAAGACCCTGGATGAGATGAATTGACTCAGTGACTCAGGTAATGAGGATAGGTGTGTCAGAGACAGTAAGGTTGGCACAGGATGGAGGAGGCTTCAGGGCTTTTGGACACAGAGGGTCGCTGTGAATTGTAAGCGTCTTGACAGCACATAACAACAACAATAGTGACAAATCTTTATTTCATCTTTCAGTATTGCAACTCAAGGCTTAAATGTGCTTTTCAGTTTTCTCAGCTTGAGAAATGGAGAGTGAGTTCTTCCCTTTTTATTCTTCAATTCCAGCTCTCTGCATATTCCTTTATAATACTTGGTCTTCTTAAACTTCCCTGGGAAATCTTCTGGTCAGCTCTTTGATGTGTTTTCCTTGTGTTTTGGCTTCTCAGTGCTATAGTGAATTTTTTAGTGTCTCTTTTGTTTTTTTTCTTTCTTTATCCTTTTGCTTTCTTCATCCCATATCATCGCATAACTTACCTGGATCCGTAGGCAGCATCATGATAAGATTGCAAAGATTGAAACTGTCAACAGCTTCATCTTACTTGGATCTACAGTTGGCACCGTTGGTCCCAGAAGTCAGGAAATCAGGAAATGTATTGACAGTGGTAAAGTCTGCAGTTAGGGACCTCTCCAAATTATTGAACAGTAATTATGTCATTTCGAGGTCTAAGGTGCATCTGATTCAGGCCATGGTCTTTCTATACATCTGAGGACTTGATGTCTCTGGGCTGTGGTGTTGGAGAAGAGCACTGAACATCCCATGGATGTCAGGAGAACACACAGCTATGTCCTGGAGAGGGTGCAGCCCGAGTGCTCTTTGGAGGCAAGAATGATGAGGCTTCACCTCACATACTTTGGGCATGTTGCTGGGAGGGGCTGTTCCTTGAAGGGAGACGTGGTGCTGAGAAAGGTAGAAGGTCGGCGAAGGAGAGGAAGACTTGGGATCAGGTGGACTGACACAGTGCCTGCCGCAGTGGTCTCTAATGTGTCATGAAGTGTGAGGCTGGCACAGGACGGGACAGGGTTCAGATCTGTTGTTCACAGGCTTGCTGTGGGTCATACTCGACTCAGTGACAAGTCTGTCTGTCTTCGAGGAAGTGCGAGCAGAGCAGAGAAGTGGTTCCTCAGAGGCAAGCAGGGTGACACGTAGACTCATATATTCTGGGCGTGTTGTCAGGGGGACCAGTCCTTGGAAAAAGATACCGTTACTGAGAAAGGTGGAGGGTCAGAGACGGAGAGGAAGACCTTCAGCAAGAGGGGCTGACAGTGATGCTACAGCAGATTCAAGGCTGTGAGAGGTGATGAGGATACCCAGGGAAGGGCGGGTGTGGCCCGCTGGCCATCGCCTCACCAGGTCGCTAGGAGTCGCGGTTGGCTCGGTGGCACCCAGCCACGACTGGGAACTTGGCCGTGATTGAGTCCTTTTGAATGTGTGGCTGTTTTTCCTCCACGCGCTGTGCTGATACTTCATTGCCCTTTATAAAATTTGCTGTTCTGATCTTGCCCACAAAAACTCTCCTTTGGACTTGGTTGTGTTTTTCTGATTCACTAGTTTAATTTATCTCTATTGATTTTTTTCCTTGCCCGGTTTAAGAAATCCTTTTCTGAGAGCGTGTTGTAGCTGCCTGGCTGTTCTCAGCGCTCATTGATTGGAAGATGCTCTGCCCTCAACAAACCTCTTGAATAAAAAGGTCTTTTTCCTCCCACTTTGGTTCAAATGATTGGAACTGGACTACTCGCCTAAAGGTGGACAGTCCACTTCTGGGCCATGGAAGGAGAGCTGCCCCCGCCCAGCACGTGGACACCAGTCAGATGATGGTGACTCTCAGCTCGTCCTTCGAGCCTAAGTTGGATCTTGCCATCCTGATGTGCACGATGAGGGGGACTTGCTCTCACCCCTTGCCCCCCGGGCCCTGTGACCGGGCTCCAGGCCAGGCCGAGCCGTACCCACCTTGCCGTGCTCACTGGAGGGCAATCTTTCTGTCGAGGAGTATGGATTTTCAAGGGGTGTGTGCTGAGACTTCCACAGTTGACAATTTCTGCGTGGTCTGCCTCCACCAAGAGCAAGTGACGTGGCCAGGCGTCCAGTGTGGTGGGCGCTGGCACCAGAGTGCCTGCAGGGTTGCGTCCAGAGACGTTGGCCAGGGGTCTGCACAGCCTCGGTATGAGAGCAGCTGCCTTCCTAAGGCCTTTGGCTTTGTTACAGGTGAATCTTAAAATGCGGGAGATAACGGAGCGTGAGGTGAAGGTGAAGCAGCAGCTGCTGGAAAGCCCAGCTCACCAGAAGGTAAAGGGTGACCCCGCTCCCAGGTCCTGAGGGGGACCAGCTCCTGGGGGGACCTGCTCCTGGGGGGTGGTGCTCCTGTGGGGACTCAGTCCTGAGGGGAACCTGCTCCTGTTGGGGGACCCACTCCTGGAGGGACCAGCTCCTGGGGGGACCTGCTCCTGTTGGGGGACCCGCTCCTGGGGGGACCCCCTCCTGGGGGGTGGTGCTCCTGTGGGGACTCAGTCCTGAGGGGAACCTGCCCCTGTGGGGGGCCTGCGCTGTGGGGGAACCTGTCGGGAACTGGCTGCTCTGAAGAACCTGCACCCGCTTCTGTGGGAGGTTTGCTCTGAGGGGGCCCAGCTCCCGAGGAACACGGAACCGTCTGGGGTCCTCTCGCTAATCACTCAACTGCTTTGTTTTCACTTTTTGGAAAGGCTAGGGTGTGGACTCTGTGCCCCTCAGGCAGCCTCTGTGGTCCCTTTGGGGCCTGAAATGTCCTAGTCACAGCTGCCCCCCATCCTCGGAGGGTCTAGTTGGGAGGGAGGGGCCTGTGGTAGGGTCGGGGGCTGGGCCGGGGGCACCCTTGAGGCCGGAGCACCTGGTGGCCCCCTGCAGTCGGCAGTGTGGCCACATGGGCTGCCATCCCAGGTGGCCATCCCTCCCCATCCCTCATACCCGCTGGCCAGCTACCACCATCACCCCGTGCCGGCTGCACTTGGCTGGTCCCCACTTCTTCCCTGAGGAGTGAGGGGTGCACTTGCTGCCCCACCCTGTGCCCTGAAGGTGCAGCTGGGATGGCCCTGGGTGGTGGTCAGCCCCTGCCCGTGTCCCTCCTCACCCCCATGCACCCTGGGGGTGATTGGGAATCACCCAGAGTGAGGGTGAGAGGCAGGTCAAGCCGCGAGCGCCCCGGGGTCGGCTACCTTCCCGGCCTCTTGCCACAAGGCTCTGCGGGCTCTTTGCTGATGAGGGAGCGAGGCAGGGGCCTGGTCCTCTACACTCACTGTCCAGGAGTCCGGGTGTCCTGTGCCCGCTGTGCGGGCTGCCCTCGGGTACTGCCCCGGCCTCTCGGCATGGGGCGCACGCTGACCTCTCCTTCCTGCTCCCCGCTTCCTCGCAGTCTCCCTCCAAGTGGTACTGGAAGCTGGTGCCCGTAAGTGGACGACCGGCCAGCTGCCACCAGCACGTCACGTCCAGTCATCACTCGCCTCCATTGAGCCCTCGCAGCCCTGCCCCTCCTGTCCCTCGCGTGCCCCGTGTCATTTCTGTACTGTGTGCACACGCGTGTGTCTTGTGACACTGCTGGCTGTGGGTGCAGATGGCAGCAGTGGAGCTTTGCGCTGGGTCCTGTGTGTGCCGTGGACACGGAGTTCCGTGTTCTCCATTGTGGATCAGGCAGGAATCGTTCCCTTCCCTGGGGATTGTAAGGTCCACAGGCCGGCCCCCCGAGCCTGTTGTCTTTTGCTCTCTGACGTAACCTCTCTGAGTACTGACATGGGCCGTGACAGTCCTGAGTGGTTGTAGGACAGGTCCTGTGCACGTGAGGGTCCTCTGGCCAGTCCCTCCTGGTCCCTTCCTCCCCTCAGGTAGTGTTCCCGCCTTTCAGTGCCTCCCTCGGTCCCGGGAAGGGTCACATTGGACCAGGTCCGTGGTGGTTTTCACCTAAAAAGGACGTTGGGAGACAGCTGGGTTCCCTCAGCCTGGTGCTCTCGGGGCCCTTGGATAGGCAGGCACCATTCAAACGAGCTTTCAGAACCTACATCCTGATCCTCAGCCCAGGCTACTTCGCTGGTCAGGAGATAGCCGTGGGGCCGGCTGGTCAGCAGAGCTCACGCCACCCACTGCTGTTCTCTTCCGGGAGCCTTTGCTGCTCTCTGAAAGTGACTTGAAGGAAGACTTGAAGGTGTCCACGAGCACAGGCCTCTGATTCTGTGGTTCTGGCCAGCACCCACAGCTAAGTTAATAAAGTGCATTTCCCAGCACATACAAGGGAGCCCTGATGGCCTAGTGGGTAAGGAGCTGTGCTGCCAACCCAAAGGCTGGTGGTTCGAATCCACAAGTCGCCCAATGAGAGATGTGGACAGGCTCCTGAAAACCCACTGGAGATGCTGTGGGTTGGTTCCGCCTAGAGCTGTGAGAGGGCCCCTAAGTCCTGCTGACACCCGACTGCTGTCTGTAATGGGCACACCTGACTGTGGGAATGACCAGGACGGGACCGAGACACCCCGTGCACACAAGCTGTTGGAGAAGCGGCTCAGTAACCTTGAGGCCGTCACCACTGACCTTCATCTGTGGGACGTGCAGTGAGGTGAAGGACAGAGAGACGAGGTTGGCCTGAGTGGGAACGTTCTTAACTCCTTACACACTGGAAGCCAGTGCTGACTGCAGGCCAGGGCATCAGGAGGTCCGGCTCAGGAAGCACCTGGCCTCACTGGTTTGCAGGCTGACCTCCAGTCACTGCTGGGCCCCGCAGATGGGTGATGCAGACAGGTGTGGGAAGGTGCAGGTGATGAAGGCAGGTGGGAGAAGGTGCAGGTGATATGAACAGGTGGGGGAGGGTGCAGGTGATGTGGACAGGTGGGAAAGGGTATAGTTGATGCGGACAGGTGGGGGTGGGTGCAGGTGATGCAGACAGGTGGGGGTGGGTGCAGGTGATGCGGACAGGTGAGAAAGTGCGGGTGATGCGGACAGGTGAGGGTGGGTACAGGTGATGTGCACAGGTGGGAGAGAGTGTAGGTGATGTGGACAGGTGAGGGTGGGTACAGTACAGGTGATGCAAACAGGTGGGATGGGTGCAGGTGATGCGGACAGGTGAGGGTGGGTACAGGTGATGCAAACAGGTGGGATGGGTGCAGGTGATGTAGACAGGTGGAGGTGGGTACAGGTGATGCGGACAGGTGGGAAAGTGCAGGTGATGCGGACAGGTGGGAGAGGGTGCAGGTGATGTAGACAGGTGGAGGTGGGTACAGGTGATGCGTACAGGTGATGTGGACAGGTGGGAGAAGGTGTAGGTGATGCGGACAGGTGGGGCTGGGGGCAGGATCAGAGATATGACCCTGACACGACAGCCTGGAGGTTAGAGAAGGCTTGTTGGAGCTGGCACACCTAGTTCGGGGGCTGCCCCTGACCACCCCGTCCATGTCTAACGGAGGACCATCTGCTTCACTGCATGCTGTGCCCATGTCTGCTGTCTGTCCCTGTGGAAGCCTGACCTGACGCATGCCATCGCGTCCTGCATGCTGGTGCCCCTGGAGTGTGCACGTGTGGTACAGTATGCGGTGGGCGCAGGGGCCACGGCAGACGCACGGCCACGGCGGGCTCTGAGAAACAAGTTACAGGCCGGGCCGCTCTGCATGCTGGAGACAGGGCTGGCCTGTCCCAGTGCTGCGGACACCCTTCCGCTGTGCCCGCTGCCGGGACAGCAGTGCTGGTCCCCCTCCCGTTAACTTGGTTCTCATCCGTGTGCTGGTGGCCGCTTCTGTAGCTTAGACGTGCATCCTGCCCTCTGTCCGTGTTTCCACTGTCCCCTGGGCATTGCTGCCCAGCCCAGCCATGAAGCCACTCCGTCCCCCGACCCTGGACCTTGACTTATGCTCCAGGCAGATAGTCGCTTACGCTTTTCTAGGCGTTGGCCCCGTGGCTGCTCTTAGCTGTCGGGGGGACGGTGTGCCTGTGACGCGTGGTGGACGGAGCGGGCCTGAGCGGAACCTGTCCTGTCTTGCAGGTCCGCTATCGGCGTGAGCACCTCACCAGCAGGCCGTTCCCCCACTTCCCGCTGCTGGAGGGCTTGATGAAGGACAGCAGTGACAGCGCTGCCCTCCTCTCTGTCATCCACTACTACTGTCCTGAGCAGATGAAACTGGATGGTGAGTGAGCCGCCCCTTGGCCCAGCGGCAGCACAGGACCCCACCAGACTCCGTGGGTCACCTGGGTTACCTGTCACCTCAGGGAGTTGGGTAGGTGGAGGGGCCCTGGTGGTGCTCAGGCTCTGCCCACGCAGGGGCTCTGCGGGGCGTGGGCTCTGCGGGGGGAAGGCCTGGCATCTGCTTCTGTGAAGGCCGGTTCTCCGGGCCCAGGTTGCCGTGACTGGTCAGCGTCCAGCAGCAGGGTCCTGGGCCCAGCAGCAGGGTCCTGGGATCTGCTTCTGTGAAGGCCGGTTCTCCGGGCCCAGGTTGCCGTGACTGGTCAGCGTCCAGCAGCAGGGTCCTGGGATCTGCTTCTGTGAAGGTCGCGCCGCGGTCTCTAACGGTCAGCGTCCAGCAGCAGTGTGTTGGGACCCTCGCTCCAGTGCTCTGGTGGAGGACGGGCCCTCACACGGCGTGTGGAAAGTGTGCTGAAGTACTTCTGTTTCCTCAGTTGTTAGGATTTTGTTGTAAATCCTGACAGGCTTGGCTGTAGACACCTGGAACTCGGTGCATGGTTGGGAACATTAGCACAAACTCTGCCTTGTTTACAGGCTCCCGGTGAGCCCGTTTCCGTGTGGTGGCGACACGGTGAGGCTCACCGGTCCGTCTCTCAGGTGTGGCAGGTGGGAGGGGACGTGTCAGGACTAGAGGGATGAGAGTTTGGGTGCAGAGCCCCTGAGGATCTTCTGAGAGTGGTTACATTGTCCTGCTGGGGGACCGTCTGTGATGGGTCACAGGGTCCTGGGGTCGTGGGTCACCGCCTCTGGCTCCGGCTGCAGGCGTTAGTGCCGGACACTGCATCTTCATAGGTGGGAGAGCTTTTAAAGTACGTGTGTGGACCTGAAGGGAAGGGTTCTGCTTGGACTGGAAAGTCACAGACTGGGGCCTGGGGCCTGTGGGCTGGAGTTCGCAGCCTCTGCTGGCCCAGACCCACGAGAGTCCTCCACAATTGTGCCATCTGTGTGACGTCTCGCTACCTCTCTGGTAGATATTTGCTTAAAGGAGGTGGTGTCGATGGCAGACAGCCTGTATAACATTCGGCTCCTGAGAGAATTCTCCAATGAGTATCTGAACAAATGCTTTTACCTCACCCTGGAGGACATGCTGTACGCCCCGCTGGTGCTGAAGGTAAGCGCACCCCACCACCCACCTGGGCCTCGGTGCTCCCGGGGCACCCAGAGGCACTCCCAGCCCGTCCTCCCCGCACACGGGCCTCCGTGCTCCCGGCGGGCACCCACTCCCAGCCCGTCCTCCACATGGGCCTCGGTGGTCCCGGCAGCACCCACTCCCTGCCCGTCCTCCCTGCACACGGGCCTCGGTGGTCCCGGCAGCACCCACTCCCAGCCCGTCCTCCCCGCACACGGGCCTCCGTGCTCCCGGCGGGCACCCACTCCCAGCCCGCCTGCTCTCCTTCCAGCCCAACGTCATGGTCTTCATTGCTGAGCTCTTCTGGTGGTTCGAGAATGTCAAGCCAGACTTTGTTCAGCCCCGGGACGTCCAGGAGCTGAAGGATGGTAAGCAAAGGGTCTTCTGGCGGTTCCGCCTTAGAGAGCGTCCTGAAGTGGCTGTTTCCTGCATACCAGAACCCCAGGCCCGGGGCTGCACAGCCAATGAGGCTCCTGTGGCCCGCCCCACCCCCCACTGGTTCTGAAGCTGTAGCCTTTACCAGAGGGGACTGCCCGCCTTGACCACAGAGCAGTTGGTTTCAGCCACCAGGATGATGGCAGCAGGCCATGCCACTTTGTTCCTTGCCCAGTGCTCCCCTGGGGTGCAGAGACTTGCGGTGGGCCTCAGGGGCGCACCGTGCACCCCGCTGTGTTCAGTCAGAGCCGCCCCGCCTTTCCCTGTAAGTAACGTGACGCCCATGGAGTCTTCCTTGCAGCGAAAGCGGTGCTCCACCACAAGGCCGGCCGGGCTCCGGTCCCGATCTCCAACGCCACCAAACGCAGCTTCATGGCCAGCCCGGCGCCCCCGAGCCCGGCGGACCTGCCGCTGTCCACGCAGCCACCCACCGAGGCCTGTCCCCGCTACCACTTGCACCTGGAGGAGTCTGAGTGTCTGTAAGTTTGTCACCCTGGCACTGTTGACAGCACCCTGTCCCCCATTTGCTGGCAAGTCTGCCCAGCTCTTAATTTGATCTGGAGTGGTCTGATTGGGGTGCTGGTATCTCTGATCCAAAGGCTGTGCCTCTTATGGCTCGAGTGCCCCAGCTGGTCCTTGAGGGGAGGAGGGACAGTCCCCTCTCATGGGCATGAGCCTTGGAAAGTCAGTGCAGGGTCAGCTACAGCATGGACATTTGGAGTCAACACACAGGCGCAAATGGCCAGCCTGTTCAGGTCTCCACTCCTGCTGGTGATGTGCCCAGTCCTGACGCTGTCCACAGTTCTCTCCCAGCAGTGGCCATTTCTGCGTCCTGCCCCACAGCAGATGAGACTGTGAAATGGTTCAGAGATGAAGAAAGCAGTACCAGCGCTGACCACTGGTGTAGCTCGTGGTGGGGTCAGAGTGACACCCGAGCATTGAGGACCGCTGCCTCGTAGCCTCAGTCGGTGCTCTTACTGGTCTCAGGATTGTGCAAATCTAGTGCAGGACAGAGCTGCTTGAACGTATTTCATTGAAAAGCTAACTTCCATCACCAGAACCTGACTGACGGGCACAGCTGTGGATTTGGGGCCAGGACGAGGGGCTGCCCTTCGATACCATGAACGTCCTGCTGTGGGCAGGAGGCCTTGAATGACCTTCCTGACATTGTGTCCCACATGCTAAGGAGAACAGGCCTTTAAATGGAAATCTGGTTTTGAGACTTGGGGTCTGAGTTGAGATTTAAGTAAAAGCAGCAACTTTAAGGTGATTTTCAGTAATTGATGCAGCTGAATCTCACTGTTGGCCAGCTGCCTGGCTGTCCCCCACACATCCCCTGGGCCAGAGTGTCCCTGTGTCTGTCTGTCCCACGTGTGAAGGTCTTGCACACCGGGTTGGCTTCTATTTCCCGGAGACTGAATTTCTCATAGACTAGTAAGAACGCACCCTGGTCTCTGGGCTTTTGAACTTGAAGGTGGCCTGTGAATACTGACATTTCTCTCCTCGCTTTTCCTTCTAGGGGGAAGGGGACCTCTGCCTTCAGCCCGTCCCACCCGTTACTGCCGCTGAGACAGAGGCAGCAAAAGTCTGTGCAGGGCGAGGAGGGCCCCGGTGAGGACGCCCTCTCCCTCACCCACACCCCCTCTGTGGTTCCCAGCGTGGCCCAGCCGAGGCTGGTGTAGCACTTTGGTGGTGCAGAAGTTAGGATGAATCTTAGCTTGCATTGCTACACCTTGGGATTCTTTACCTTGGTGGTGACTGTCATTGAAAGCTCGTCATTGTTTGAACCCTGTACAAGATTGCAGTGCTGTTCCTAACAGGAAGTCTGCAGGCGTGTGTGTGCGTGTATGTGTGCGTGCGTGTGTGTGTGTGTACGACGTTTGGTCCTGCCTTGGGCCGAGTCCCTGATAGGACCTCACGGAAATGACAGAAGGGGGATGTTTTGGAGCAATGCTCTGTCCTAAATTGGGAGTTCATGGAGAAAGCGTCCCCATGTGGAAGGAATTTGGGAGAGGGTGGGCTGGTGACCCTATGGGCTCCTCTCCTGCCCCCCCAACAGACCCACGGCATCGGTCGGACTCTCTCAGTCGAGCGGACGGCCAGCCCCGCGGAACGGCTGTCACGTGGTCAGAGAAGAAGTCGAGGTGAGTGGCTGGCTGCTGGGCCACCCATGGGCTTCTGTGTGGAGTGGGCCTGCGACCAGGGGCCATCTACCAGGTGTGGCCTGGGAAGCCCTTCAGGGAGCTCCCGTGCGGACATCTCATGACAGTGCCATGTCCAGGCTCCTGCGTGAGCGTGCAGCACGTGGGCGCTCCGGGGCTCGTGGCAGGCAGCACAGGTGGACTTGGAAACACTGCACCCAGTGAGCGTCGCCTTCCTGCTCTCTCACTGGCCTGATCCACCGGCAGGTGCCCTGGGCTGCAGCTCTGGCCCTGAGCTGACTGATGTTCTTGAGGAAGGGGCCCGGGGACTGGAAGGCCACAGGGGCTATAAGCAGGTACGTCGCTGAGAGCTGCCGTCTCCTGTGCTCTCCTCTCGCCCTGCAGGCCTGTGTCGCAGACAGCCCCGTTTTCGCTTTATCACGGTGCGAGCTGTGACGGGGACCCGGCCTCCAGCGACACCATCAGCTTGGCCCGTTCCATTAGCAAAGACAGCTTGGCGTCCAATATCGTCAGTGTCACCCCGCAGAACCAGCCTCACCCCACAGCCACCAGGACCAACGGGAAAGGCCTCCTGGGCAACGTGAACATGGAGGACGAGGAGGAGGAGCTGCTGGCCATCATCCGGACTGACGCTGCTCCCCTTGGGGCGGACGTGCCTGGGCCGCGAGCCTCGGGCCTGCCTGGGGCCAGGTCTGCCCAGAGAGACGCCACCCCAGATGGCAGGCCCGAGAGCTTCTTCCTGGAGCCTCTGTTGCCGGCCGTGCTCAAGCCGGCCAAAGAGAAGCAGGTCACAACCAAGGAGGATGAGCGCGGAGAGGGCCGGCCTAGGGGCCTCCTCACCAAGCGGCTCAGTGAGGGCCACCAGCCGGTGGCTAGAAGGAGAGTGGGCAGCGCTCATGGTACCCATGACCTGGCCCGGACTTTCACCCCCATTTCCTGCTCGGACTTCCCAGCCACCATAGACCCCTCACTCCTGGAGGCAGGACTGCCGTCGGCCAGCACCGCAGGGGAACCGTGTGGCCGGCCCCTGGCCAGTGGCAGTGTCCACCCGTCGTCTCAGGTTCAGCCGTCTGATGGCTTCTTCCTCCACGTGGTCAGAGCCGTGGATGATGCCGAGGACAGGCTCGCGGGGGCCTGCGTGAGGAGCCCCAGCCCGCCCGGTCCTGAGCCGTGGACCATCCTGAGGCAGGACTCGGACTCGGACGTCCTGGACATCGAGGACGCCGAGCAGGACCGGCCCGTGGCCATCACGTGCCCCGGCGAGGAGGAGTCGGCCAAGCTGCAGGAGGACCTGACGGTGAGGGAGCACGAGGACAAGGACGAGGCCAGTGGGCGCTCCAGCCCCTGCCTCAGCACCATCTCTCAGCTGAGCAGCGTCTCCTTGGCCAGCGGGAGCGTGAAGATGACCAGCTTCGCAGAGCGCAAGCTCCAGAGACTCAACAGCTACGAGACCAAGTCCAGCACCAGCAGCTCGCAGAAGACCACGCCCGACGCGTCCGAGAGCTGCCCAGCGCCTCTGACCACCTGGAAGCAGAAGCGGGAGCAGAGCCCGAGCGGGCAGGGCCGGGACCACGCCAGCCTGCTGGCCTCCGAGCTGGCGCAGCTGCACATGCAGCTGGAGGAGAAGCGCCGCGCCATTGAGGCGCAGAAGAAGAAGATGGAGGCGCTGTCGGCCAGGCAGCGGCTGAAGCTCGGGAAGGCCGCGTTCCTGCACGTGGTGAAGAAGGGCAAGGCCGAGGGGGCCCCACAGCCGCTGCGGCCCGAGCACCTCACCAAGGAGTACGCCCAGCACAACGGCGAGGCCTCCGAGGACGCTGCGGCCAAGTCGGAGGGGCGCAGGGACGCCCTCCACCTGGAGCCGCACGACATGGACAAGGACGCAGACAAGGACGGCCTGGCCCTCGCCCCCCACCAGCCCAGGGAGTCGTGCGCCCCGCACGAGTGCGAGAAGGCCAGAGGGCTGCCAGCCGCGCTGCTGGAGGACGGCGAGGGGCTGGACGTGGGCGAGTGCGAACTGTCCATCGAGAAGCTGAGCGAGACCATCAGCACACTGCAGCAGGCCATCCTGAAGATCTCGCAGCAGCAGGAGCAGCTCCTCACCAAGCCCCCCGCCCTGCCCCCCGCCCCCCGCAACGGCTCCCAGGACCAGAAGGCCAAGGCGGCCATCCACTTCGTCGAACCGCTCTCTCCCACGGCGGTGACCGGCCACCGCAAGCCCCCTCGTCTCGGCCAGGGGCGGGGTTCCCGCTCGGGACGCCCGGCTGAGCTCAAGGTCCCGAAAGACCGGCCGCAGGGCTCCCGCAGCAAAACGCCAACCCCCAGCATCGAGACCCTCCCGCACCTGAGACCCCTGCCCCCCAACGGCCAGGCGAGGACGCCTCCCGAGCTGGGCCTGGACGGTGCCGCAGAGCCCGGGAGCGACACCCGGGACAGGCTTCTCTTTGACAGTTACCGGCTGCACGACGAGAACAACCAGCGAACGTTTGTCCTGTCCTCGGCCCCAGACGCCAACATCCTGTCAGAGGCGCTGGAGAAGAGCGCGCGGGAGGCGGGCAAGGAGAACGTGCCCCTGGAGGAGCCGCTGAGGGCCAAGGCCAGCCTCATTGAGGTGGACCTCGCTGACCTGAAGGCCCCCGACGAGGACGGGGACCTGGACCTCCCTGACAGCACCGGTGGCCTGGTCAGCGATGGTGACCAGAAGCCTGGGCTCGGGTTCTTCTTCAAGGTACCACACCCGTTGGGTGCTTCCCCTGGGCCTGTCCCACAGTCGAGGGGTCCCCAGGAGCACGTCCTGTCCCGCGTACCCGCTTCTCCAGGCCCCACAGCTCGGCCAGACCAACAGATGGGCCTGGTTGCCAGGCATGCGCTTGGAAATCTGAATTCCATGTAATTTTGTGTCATGAGGTTTTGTGTTCTCACGGTTTTGACCGTAAGTCAGGGAGCAGTTTCAGCTCAGGCTGCGTGAGAGTGAGAGGTGGCCGGTGGAGCAGCCTGGGCCTCGGGCCTCGGACATAAGCCTGCCGGGCTCAGCCTTTGGAGGGTGAGGGGCGTGAACCGTGGTCCCTCTGGTCAGCGTTGGCTTCTCCAGCGTTGCGGTGTGTTACCTCAGGCACGGCGCGAGCCTCCTGTGTGGACGTGTGTTGTTTTGATGTGTGTGGGTTTGGGTGGTGCCCTCCCGACGGACGCTGAGATCCGTGTCTCCTGTGAGGCAGTGACCGCGCTCTGAAGCACCTGGGGGCCCCCTGCGGCTGCTTTTAGAGTGGCCCTCTCTTCCATTTGTGCTCGTGGTTCTGTGTTGTCCGGTCAGATCCCACTCACAGCTGCCCCTCCCGCGGGTTTGCAGATGTTGGGAATCACAGGAGGAAGCGTCCATCTTTCTCCGCAGAGCGGCTCTGGATTCAAACCGCCTGCCCGTGGGTCTAAAGCCGCCAGTGCTATAATCTGCATACCCGTCAGTTTAGAAGGGCATTCGCAGGGAGAGGCCCGGGCAGCGGGTGGGCCGGGGCAGCGTGTGGGCCGGGGCAGCGGGTGGGCCCGGACAGCACCGTGGGCCGGGGCAGGACCGTGGGCCTGGGCAGGACCGTGGGCCGGGGCAGCACCGTGGGCCGGGGCAGGACCGTGGGCCTGGGCAGCACCGTGGGCCTGGGCAGCGTGTGGGCCTGGGCAG